AGACAGCCTAGCATAGAACTGGGAGGGTAGGACTGAGAGGAATGATTTCCTCTTGGGTGGGAGGTCTTAATAATGAGCTCATTATGGCTCTATCAGAATGCATCTGTCTCCACCTGGCATACAGATCATTTTTTAAAAGCATTGCACAAGAAGACAGAACTTAAATTTTTGTCTCAAATCTCACTGCCACTTCTAGCATTCTTTCCTTTGCCACTCTGATTTATATTGTCATGCGGAAGAGAACTTGGATCCTTTCTCTTGAAAGAGCAACTCTTTAAGGACCTGTTCTATAAAATAGGCTTGAAAGCAAGGTGGTAGTGGCAAACTGACAACCAACCTGCAGAAGGCTGTTGCATTCCTTTGTATGACTGTTTTCAGATGTGGCCTTTGCAATGACAGGTGGAACTACATTCCCAAGGCTTTTCTGACCATCTTATCCCTCTCTACTGAGTCATGGTAGCCTAGCTCTGGAGGGATTTGTGCCCAAGGCAGTGATAATTCAGGCTCTGACTCTCCAGGCCTTTGAATGTTTATGACAGATTAGTTCAGCCTCTGAGAAGCAGGGAAGGGTGCTCTGAATCTGCTTTCTGTAAAACAGCTTGAAAGCATCAGCTCAGGGCTCGTGCATGGAGGCTGCTTATCTGGTGTTCAACTGAACATCTTTTCTGCACAGTTAACCAGCTTTGTGGGCAAAAGATGTTCATTTCAAAGAGCTGAAGCACAAATTGACTCCACCTAAAGCAAATGCCTTGAAGAAAGCCAATGGTGATGGCAGCTCCTGTTTCCAGGCATCTACGATGCTGATAAGTAGCTCAATCCACCAGGAAACATTAAGCATATTATCTGTTAGTCTTATAAAAACCTGGTGGTCACAGATTTCTTTCCAGAGTATTATTTCAGTCTGCTGCTGTTCCAAAACTATCCCATTACTAAAATCCTCAACTGCCCCTTTCTTTGTTATGACCAATATTTAAACACATCCATACTGTACAAGATTATGTTGTGCAGACAGCTAGCTTAGGAAAGAAGACCCTACAAGTGGTTGAGTCCAGACCAGCTCCCTCTCTCCCTTTGAGACTGAAAATGTCAGTAGAGTTTAGGTCTGGGGCAGGTGGCTTTGTCTCCAGCCAGAATTAAAGCATCAGCTGGACAAAGCTTTCTCTTTTTTTTCCCCCCTTCACATTCCTAGGGTACTAAACATCTTGAGGATCAGAAACTAAATGATGCTGCCTCTTGGACGGAGATCACTGAGGGTGAATGAGACAACTGTGATTTAAAAGACTGAAAGGCATTTTCCCATGTGCTTTTGTGCCATCTTGAGTGTCAGAGACAGATCCCCACGAGATCCTTCTTACCTTGTGCTGAGAAATCGGCAAGGAGTGACACCTAACTGGATGAAGGACATATAGTGCTTCTTACTTGCAGGACTTGTCCCGTTCAATCCACCCCAGCATCCTCTTGAATATTTGGAAATGCTTTTCTCCATTTCTGTGCCCATAGCAACTGGAATTATTCTGTTTGTAGTGTTTCTGCTTATGTCCGGTAATATAGAATTCTCCAGTCTGTAGGATGGGTTTGTTCTCATAACTCCAGTTCCTCATCAGGGATGTAATGGGACTTGTTCCTTCAAAGGCAGAGCTCCAGAGGAAGCAGGGCTACTTCTTGTCATGACTGTGCCATTCATTGTCTCCTCGATGCTTAAAGAAAAAATTATACACTGTGAATAAACATTAAATGCACGACTTCTTACCTCGGGAGCATGAGCTAGGTGAATTTGAGCAGTTTTCTGTTTCTGGGATTTGTTTTGTTAGTCCTTTAGAACAGATGCCTTAGATAGCTAGCTCCTGTCTCAGGACACTGAGGATATTGCCACTTGGAATTAGAGACTGGTTAGTATTCAGCTCTAATTCAGTGACTCAACATTTGTCTGCTGGTTGTACTTTACTTGGGAATGAGCATGAGGCAGAGGGAATATAGCTCTGTTTCCCAAGGCTTTCTGGTTGCCGGTTTTTTTGTTATTTTTTTTTAACATTCTGTTTTAAAAATTTCAAGCAGAAGTAGAGAAAATTATATAATGTATCCCAACGTGCCCATTCTCCAACTTCCCCAAACTCATGGCCAATCTTGTTTCATCTATTCTTATACCTGTTTACTTGCTTCTGGATTATTTTGGAACAAATCCCAGATATTGTACCAATTTATCCATGGTGGTACTTCTTTTTTGAATATGAAGATGATAAATGCATTTTTAAAATGCCAACAAAAAATAAAACTTGAAAAAAGAAAATGTCACATCTCCATCTGGGTGTCGTGTGTCCTGTTTCTCTTCTGGATGTGTTGATGTTCTCCCTGGTGCGTTCTACCTTTGCAGTGCAAGCCAGCAGTAAGCCGCAGCAGGTCTTCCAGTTTAAGTCTTACAGTTGAAAGTGCTTTAGAAAGCTTTGATTTCCTGAATACCTCTGATTTTGATGAAGAAGAGGATGGTGATGAGGTTTGTAATGTTGGAGGAGGTGCTGATTCAGTATTTTCAGACACTGAGACTGAAAAAAACAGGTAAGTCTGAGGTGTCTGCTTATATTTCTTCTGTCATAGCTGGGACAGTAGATCTTTGTTATTATCAGAGGGGACCTGGTGCACATTTCCAGAAAGATGAAACTCCCTACATGAATAACTGGGCTTACAATTGACATACGGTTCCTTTTTATTGTCAAGTACAACTTTTAAATATTGTTTACTTCTTTTGGGTTGCTTAAGAAAAAATAAGTTGCTTTTCTTCCTTATAAATAAAGGGGAAATTTTTGCATGACAGTGCGTGTGTACATGTACATGTGTACACATACGTCTTGTAGGGCTCACTGTCTACAACTTGACCCTGATTAATTCCAAATTAACTATGTATACTACATTTCTAGAGAATTCTTATTGGGTGATAAATTTGGACCTGGTTCTCCCTGGTTTGCATCTTACCTCGGACGTGTTTGTTTTGTGCTTTGCTTTCCTTTATCTGCTTCTTGGTTCCCTTCAGCCCAGCGAGTCTTTGCATGAGATTAAGCTCATCAATGTATAGATCAAATCCACAGATCATGGGTTTAAGCCCCACAGTGTATATTTCCCTTAGAATGTAAGAGAGAATGACCGATAATGGCCACTGGATCGACAGCCCCCTAGGTGGAGAATGTGACCTTCTGGGAGGAAGGAGAGGAAATGAAGTCATTTTCACTTTCTCCATCAGGGGTCCTTGTGCAGCCAAACCATGTTTTTAGAACTAGAGCCTGGGGTCCATTTAGTAACTTCCAATGAAGCAAACCAAGCACCTCCATCAATTGCTGTGAAAGAATATACAACGGCTTTCCCAGAGGAAGGGGTGGATTTCCCACCCATCTTTACCTTTGGCACAACGTGACATAAACAGGTTTTCAAGTTACAACAAGCAAGGCTGTTCAACCTTCACAAATCTCTCTGCAGGAGATGTTATTGTTTTGGGTTTTTGTTGTTTCTCAAAGGTTTCTTATTCCAGAATAAAACCAGGAAAAACAAAAACAAAAACATGGGAGCTAGAATTTATCCCTTGAGCAAACTGGGAGCACAGCAAAGAAAATGTATTAAATGAATGTAATGTTTAAATTATACTTCTACATTCTACATCGAGATTTGTCTAGCTTCACTGAATTTGTGAAATGCTTCTTAACCAAAAATTTTTCTATATCCTTGTTAGCTTAAGTTGCTACATGATATATCAAGGTCAGACATCGTTCCAAATATTTTTTCTTCTTGCTGTAAGAAGCATTTTAACCAAAAAAATGTTTAAGACATTGCAGCTTTTGAACATACTATAGAACATTAATATTAAATATGTCTAATTTGATCAATCTTACTGTCCATCATCAGAAGTATTAGGAAAAAAATGCGTGTGTGTGTTTTAAATATGTGTTGACAGCCACGTGTTGACTGCCAGGACACAAGGTCATGTTTTCTCCTTGGAGGTAATTGTGAATGGGAGTGAAGCATTGAAAGCCTCTAAGCTGTGGTGCATGATCTTTTAAAATTGTGGACACAAAGGAGTGTGGGGCTAGAGGCCAAAATCTGCACTGTATCTGCCTAGCTGTGTGAACCAGGACACTCTCGCTAACACTTCTGCTAATCAGTCCTTCCATCTGTGAAAAGAGACTGCTATTCCCTCCCTCCCTAACACACCGATTCATTTTAAAAATAAAATTAGCTAATGGACTCTAACAGATTTTTTTTTTTAATGTAAGTGCCCATGATGATATAACTTTAGACAGTTCAACAGTGGAGTTTCAACAAAACATGAGAGGCAGGACTAAGCTATGCCTCTAAATATTCAAACACCCTTTTTAACTTTTGTCCACAGTAGAACATTGTGTCTCTCTTCTTGGCAGCTTTCCTTTTTCCTTTTCTTCAAGCAGCAATTGATCTGAGGCCAGGAAAAAGCCTTGACAGATTATTTCTTAATGGTACTGCTCTTGAAAACCACAATTACAGAGGACAGTTTAATCCCAGAAAATTTGGCAAATCACCCCATCAATAGAGTAGGAAAGTGCAACAACTGCAAAATGAGCACACATTTCAAAGACTCCTTGGTAAAGTAACTTCATAAATGGATCATTGTGCTTGAGGCGCAAACAGAAAACTCTGGAAAGCAATTTGTTTGCATGGTCTTTTAACACTAAACAAATTGGTGACTGGGCTGACTTAAGTCATTTTTGAAAGGTGTCTTTATTTTTCAAGGTAGGCAAATGAAAGACTGTTTTCAGTGGGTGCTGTTAGGGGCCTGAACTGAGCCGTGTTGAGTTGATGTGTGGTTTGTACACAGACAGAAATAGCTAATGTCTCACCCACCTTCCTGCTTCGCCAGTTACAGGTCAGTTCACCCGGAAGCCAGGGGGCACCTTAGTGAAGCGCTGACTGAAGACACAGGAGTTGGGACCAGTGTGGCAGGAAGCCCTCTCCCACTGACCACAGGAAATGAGAGCCTGGACATCACCATCGTTAGGCACCTACAGTACTGCACCCAACTCGTTCAGGTAGGATTAGAGACCACACTTGTGTCTGAGAGCCTGGGGTTGATTACATACCAGGAAAGTGCTCCCGTTTCTTAGTTTCCCTGGGGAAAAGAGAATTGAGGAATAAGAGACCAGTCCTGCTTTGATTTGAGCAAACATTCTGATGGCCATGCCTGTCCTTCCTCAACTCACCAACCATTTGAATGAGAGTTCTCAAACCTCTTTATACTTGCTGAGCCTGACAGTGTGCCAAGCAAACCACCTGTTTACCTTTTAGAGGTGTTATTTTCTGAGTCATAAGAGAATTCTCTTCCATGCTGGAGTGAATGTTTTCTCCCAAAGACTAATCGACATGCAATAGTCATTGCAGTGTTTGTTCCTCTGATAAGACCACAGTTATAACAATTCACCTCTTCTGTGGGGAAGCTCAGCACTAGAAACACAAAAGAGGTGGCTATAAAGACATAGGTTGAAAGAGTGAGGATTAGAGACTTAATTTCTCACTTGCACTCCTGAATCAGTGAGTATACTTATTCATTTAGTATCTAATTGCAGAGAGATAAAAATGGGCATTCAATAAGAATCATATAATTATTAGCTATAATTATTTTTTAAACATAGTTTATTTCTACTATATTTACTTACATGAAAGGCACTAGTACATAATTGTTACACTAGAGTGTTGAGTTTGAAAAGCCTATTTGTTTTAGAGTCCAAATGCTTTAGACAGTCCGGCATGGTGGTACAGGTCTGCCTCCTGCATCCATGCCTACCAGCTGACCAACCACCAGGCGGCAAGTGACTTATGTCCTTTCCTCTCTCAGGCCTCTTCATTCTTGTGACATACACACAAATGAAACCACTCACTGCTTATGTGACCTTGGGCAGGTTACTTAACCTCTCTGTGCTTCAGTTTTCTCATCAGTAAAATCAGATATCAATAGGACCCACCTCTTTGGGTTCTGAGAAATAACATGAGCTAATACATATATAGGGCTCAGATCAGTGCCTGGTATACAGTAAGCACTCATTAATTCTAAGATAGCTCTAATTGTAATTATAGTTATTATACAATCTGTTCTTAGTTTTCAGCTTGAAAACAATAAAATAAAACCATGCTGTGGAAAATTACTGTACTTGTAAAACAAATTTCTTTCTGCTTACATGCCAAGATAGTCCAAATGTGCCCTCCAAGTTTCAAAGAGGAAGATCAGATTTACAACACATAAAAGGAAAGAGCTTTACAATAACCTTGCAGCTCTACTACTGAGAAACTTCCAGAATATATACAGGCATGAAAAAAGTCTAAAGCAGCAAAAATTTGTCCGATTTCATCAGATGTCGTAACTGGCATGGAATGAGGAGCGTTATCAAGCTGGAACAAAGGCACTGTATGAGTTTATTTAGACTCACCACCACATTCAGGAAGGATGAGGCTGGGGAGGGAAAGCTCTGTTGACTATAGCATAGTTGAAACAGTGGTTTTGTTTGTTTTATCAGCAAATTGTTTTCTCAAGCAAAACCCCATTTGTGGCAAGAAACCTCTTAGAGAAGCTTTCTAGGCAGATCAAAGTGATGGAGAAACTAGCAGCTGTCAGCGATGAGAACATAGGAAACATCAGTTCTGTGGTTGAAGGTAAGCATCTGCCACTCACAGCACCGCCCACGGTGGTGGAAGCAATGACTCCACTAGCCCACTCCAGTGTCTGTGCCTGTTTGCTGCTTTGTCGGGAAGACAGAAGCACATTCTTAGGCCATAGCGCAGGGTAAGGTCTCCATACTAGGTGGGCTCATTATGCCACAGTTCAGCCTTCTGAGTCAAATCAGCAAACACATAGCTCCTTCTATAGGGGCCTCCACCTCAGGAAGTCAGACACAGAAACAGTGTGCACCTCACAGGCCAACTTTTACACTTTTTCTGCTAGTGCAATTCTCTTTAGGGACAGATAATCAGGATTGTTCTGCACCATGGAGCTGGCTAAGACAACTCCTATAGCAGCTGAGTGTCAAATGGAAGATCTTCCAAACCCTGCTGGGAAAAGGTAGAAATATGTGGATTTGGAGGCCTCCAGGAGAGTCCCTGGGTCTGAGAGTTTTAGATCGAGAACTTGACATGGGGAAGATGCCTTTGAATTTGTGTGGTCTGGCTACGGGGCTCTTTCATAAAGTCAGAAATCTGTGTCTGTTTTCACGTCAGATATTCAGTGGAAACAAGGTCTTCTAGGTAATCTCCCCTTCAGCCTAAAACACCCTCTAAGTCTCCCTGTACATTTCTGCCTCCTGCATCTATTCCTACTAGGAGCAGGTGACCTTGGCAGGTCTCTGAGAAGCATGAAAAGGGGCAGGACATTCAGGCTTCAAGTGACTCAAGTCCGCTCCTCTCCGAGAACCCTCTCCATGGTCAAAACCACACATGAGTGAAATGCTGGTCATGAGCTCCCTGGTACCATGCTGTTCGGTCATAGTGATCTTAGGGCCACCTGGCAGCCACCTACTGCCACATTCCATCCCCTTCAGGAAAATCTCCTGATGTTTGAGTCTCTGATCATGTACTGTTTTTTGCTGCAAAGTTACAGATGAGCTGGAACGTTTCCCAGGGGTAGAGCTGCTGTGTTTTCTATCACTGAGAGCAAACAGCTTTGCTTTTTCTGCATTTCTCTTCGTTCCCGGGGCAGGATGAGTTCCTCATCATAACTTCTTTGCCCTTGGGACCATCTGCCAGCCACAGAGGAATCCTGTAGCAGTTTTAACTGAAAACTACAGCCTTGGGCAGGGAGGGGCCCTAATAATGCCTCCCCGACCCCCACCCAGGGACATCTTTTCATCTACTTCATTTCAAACATGTGTCGTGGGATGGGGGGTTACCCTTCTTTTCCAGCCATACCAGAGTTTCACAAAAAGCTGTCCTTGCTGTCATTCTGGACCAAGTGCTGCAGCCCGGTTGGTGTCTACCACAGCTCAGCTGACAGAGTGATTAAGCAGCTGGAGGCCAGCTTTGCCAGAACTGTCAACAAAGAGTATCCAGGACTGGCAGACCCAGGTACAGGCCAGCAGTAGGGAGAGAATTTCTGTCCTTCAGTGCCAGAGCGGGTGCAGGTAGAGTCCCACCCACCACTGCTTGCCCCACAGGGGGTGGGGGGCACACAGGAGGCCAGCCCTGGAAAAAAGGTGCGTTCTCCAGGGGAAGCATCATCTACTCAGTGATGGAAGAGCATATTTTAATTCAGAGTATCAGCAGTGACTTTTAAAGGTACTACATATCTGTTTTGCTGTTTAGATATATATACTCTTTTCATTAAAATATTACCAATATTGGGAGTGTCAAATGGTACAACCACTTTGGAAAAACTGGTCATGTCTACTAAAGCTCACTACATCTCCCACCCTGTGATACATTTAGCAATTCCATTCGTAAATATATCAAGTAAAATAAGTGCTTATGTTCACAAGAAAGGGCATGTATAAGAAGGTGTATTCACAAAAGCCAAAAATTAGAAACAACGTAAATGCCCACAAGAGAATGGATAAATCATAGTATATCCATATCATAGTGTATATTACACAGCAGTTTTTGAAAAGGAGAATCAATTACTGCTACAAGCAACAATTTGGGCGAATCTCAAAGATACTTTGTTGAGTAAAAGGTACCAGATACAGAAAGCCTATACTGCATAATTCCTTTTCTATACAGTTCAAGAACAGGCAAAACTAATTCATATTGATAGAAGTCAGATTATTAGTTACCTGTGGTGGGGGTGGGGTAGCTATAGACTGGGAAGGGGCACAAGAAACCTTGTTAAGGTTGCTGGCAGTCTTCTCTGTCTTGAGCTAAATGGCAGGTACACAGGAGTGTGCGTATGCAAAAGGCCCCCAGCTGCACAGCGAAGATTAGTTCACTTTACACACCTCATTCTATCTTATACGGAATGAATTATTGAATGAATGAATGAATGGTCATGCTTTTAAGCTGCTTTGTATCTTTCTTTTCCAAATAGTGTTTCAAACCCTGGTGTCCCAGATTCTGGACCGGGCTGAGCCTCTGCTTTCCTCCACCCTCTCCTCAGAAGTCATCACCGTTTTCCAGTATTACAGTTACTTTACCAGCCACGGTGTGAGCGACCTAGAGAATTACCTGAGCCAGCTGGCCAGGCAAGGTGGGACATGTTCTTTTGTCACATTACAATGGTGGCTCAATTTAGTTATCTCTGGTCTTTTTAATCATGGTTCTTAGTGTTGGTAACTATTTTTTCCCCAAGTCCACAGTCCAACTTTTCTGGGCTTTAACATCAGTAAGCCTCTTGTTAATGAAACAAGGATTTACTAAGAGCATCCCAGTCTCCCAGCAGAGGTGTACAATGAACAGGAAGATGGTGAATGATTTAAGGTGTCACTGTAATTTCTTTCCTTCATTAGTGTATTTGTCATTTCTAGGATCAAACTTGCAGGCGATACTATTTTATATTGCCCTTTCAGGTGGAGCTTTCATTAATGTTAGGCAAAAAATGGGATTTATAAGAAAGCAATGGGGTGACACAGTGTGAAGGGATAGGAGGAAAAGGTGGAAAACTAAATCCAGGGCTCCCTACCCAGAGGAAGAGGAAAGTGGGCACCAGTGTAGGGGGCTAGCAATGAGGTTTACTATTGCCGTTTCACTGGCACTTCTAATATTAAAAACACAGTAACTATCTGTATAGAGCGAAAATCTCTTTGGGGGTGCAACCAGGCAGTGAGGGGCTGGTTTCTGGTTCCCAGGAGTGTGCTCTATAAATCCACAGAGCCTCGTGTGGGTTAAAATGGACAGGAGGAATGTGGTGTGTTCTTTGGGACTAGGTGGGGAGTTTGGCCAAACACCAGGTAGCAGCAATGTGTCTGGCACAGAGCCAGGTTTGGCCCTTCTCTTTCCAGAACGTTAAACCCTGTGACAACATGGTCAGCACATTGGTTGGCATCATAGTGAAGGAACAAAATCTTCCTCCATCCAGCGTGGCACACGGGACAGTCTGCCTACAACCCCTTATAAATAGCAAATGGTAACGCGGAGGCCCAGGAAGAGAACGCCTGGGCAGGAAGGCCCTGTTTTAGGACTATGGGTTTCATTTTATTGTATTCTTCGTTTCTTGATATTGAATTTATCACAGCCTAAATCAATGTTCTGAGCAAATGTCTCTATTGCTCAGTTTACATTGGTGGCAGTTTATATCTCTAAGCCTCTCATTACATGGTCCCCAGGAAGGCCACTGATTTACCAGTCGAATGAGGAAGGGCGACGAAGAAAAACCCCAACCTTTTAAGTGTCTCTTTTTCCTTCATTATAAAATGAAAAGGCCTTCATTATAGAAAATTTAGAAAACAGAGAACTATAAAGGGAAAAAATTCAAATCACCCATTCTCCTACTTTTAAAATTTAATGTTTTTCAGTTGAATATGCACAGGTTTTAGATTTCAAAGTTGTGATTATTCTTTTTGGGTATCTATCCTGTTTTCTTATTTGACATTATATTCCATATTATTAAATTTTCTTTGAAAATATTCTTATTTTATAATATCTCTGCATTTGAATGTATACTAATATATTCAATTGTATTGTTGAACGTTGAGGTCTGTGATTTGTTTATTTAACTGTTACAATACATAATATTATCTCAAGACTTTTTACTAGGGTATTTATTTACATAGCAGTGTAATTGGCAGAACACCCACAGCAGGGAAAATAGGGAATTAAAACCAAAAAAATCTAAATAATTCAAAAATGTGTCCACTGTGTAGGGAATGTAGTTCTATTGATGGAACACATATTTTAGCTTATATTTTTCCATCTTTGCTGACCAGAAACACTCTCATCCTAGTGATTTTGTGACTAATGGATGCCAATGATGAATATCTAGTTAGGAATTAGAATATATTCTTTAGTCATGGAACATGATCAATTTGTTCAAATGGGACTCAAAACGCATTTTTTTTTTAAAAAAAATCATATTGTCTTCATATTCCAACCAACTAAATAGGTTTTTCTATCAGGGCCCAGAGTCCTGAGTGCAGGCAGAGAAATAACAGACTTGGGCTCACCCAGGATTAGGGTATTGCCAGATG